TCCAAATACGAGAACAAGCGCACACGCACTGTGGATACCACTTAATAATTACCTGTATTTGTGCTCGTGCCATGCCCCTCCCCAACCTCCACTTCCCGGCGTATGTGTGAGTGATATGGGAGATGCCGTTTATACGAAGGCTTTTTTTCCGCCTAGGGTGGGGAACGATATGTGATTGTTCCCCCGTGTTTTTTATGGATCAGGGAGGGGGGAGTGAGACGGGAGATGCCGGGGGTGGCTGGTTGGTGTGCTGTGCGGTGCGGGTGAGTATGTATGGAAGGATGGATCGAAGGGAGGGGAGGGGAGGTGGCTGGGTTGGATTGGATGGATAGATGAAGGGAGAGATAGGAAGGGGGTGTGGGTTATGCGGTGACATGGTAGGTCTGGGGTTGTTAGAGATTATATTTGGGGGCGTTCGTGGGAGATTTGGGGGTGTGGTATATGTCTTCGTTTTATGCATGTGTGGGTAATGATGAGATTGATATGATAGGAGTGTGAATTGTCAGTGGGCTTCACAAATGCATCGTCTGAGTGAAGAAAAATTATGGGATATGGATCATGGAATAACGACACAAATCACTAGCATAAATCAATGCATCCGAAGATGACAACGCAGTCACTCTCTTTTCTTCCCGTCACTCCGGAATTCAGGGTCTTGTTTGATCGTCCACTTTCGCCGTTGCAAGAATGATTACAGTGGAAACGACAAGACCTGCACTTCCATGAACTATTCATCTATCTGGAAAAAAAGAGAAGAGAAAGAAAAAAGGAAACTACCAAGTCTGCCGAACTACTTAGAACGGCGAATAAGGAAACAAACTTCTGGGATCCTACAGGCTGGAATAAGCAGAGTTTCGAAACATGCACAGGTTTAGCCCCGGAATACAGGCCGAAATCTTCATCGGCGATGAGTGAAACGGTGGTAGGTAGAGCGTATGGAATGACTGTGGGTACTATTATTTGTCAACTGTAGTTGTTATTGTTAGTATTTGCATTTGCATCTGCATTACTGGTGTTGGCATCGGCGGCATCGGTGGTATGGCACCGTCAGTATGGCATCATTATCATTAGCATGGCATCGTTAGATGTGGCACCGTTAGCATCGTCAGAATCATTAGCACCATCATCATAATCGTCGTCGTCATCAGCATAATCTTATCACAATCATCATCATCATCATCACCAGGAGTCTCAATCTGGTGTTCCGACATCTAAAACTCACCCTCACTCCCCAGTCTTATCGACAACCGCGGGCCCTCGTATCAACCCAAAGTCCGACCATTTACCGCACTTCGGGTCATCTGTCGTGAGCAACGGTCCGCACCGTAACACTGTCGGGTCATGCACTTCACATACATGACGGGGCCCAAAGTTTGGATAAACCAGCGTCACCAGGCCGTGTCCAAGTGTATCAAGGAGCGAAAGCATCTAGTAATGAAAACTCCCCAAAAAAATATCCGGCATGACGTGCCAATACGACGGGAATGCAGGTGAGCGCACTCGCAGACGCTGCCCCCGAGGGCGTAGCAGGGTGGTCCTTGCCGCTCAATATGTGCAACGGGCTTGCATCCACTACTGCCCGTACGCACGTCCTCTCTGACATGCTGCTCGGTGTGGGATGTGAAGCGGCTACGGCCTACCCTCCGTTTCCATCCTGTCAGCATTTTTTAGACTTTGTCCCCCAGAAGCTAGGGAAGGGGGAGGAAGGGATCAGAGGCCGAAGCACGATCGATCGTCATTTCCTTTGTAGCATATCATTGTCTCGACTGGAAGCGTCGTGAAATGTTAAACCCACGTGGCGAGCGACGATTACTACAAAAGGGAAACAGGGACATGAATTGCCACCTTTGAGCGAGCGAGAGACTAGGCTCAAGAGTATATCCGTGTGGGTGATCTTCATGAAACTGGCTGTATGTATGTATGTAAAGTTGAACCCTGGAACGGGCAGTTCCGTACATGTGTGATTGTGTCGGATTCTTTTGCCGACAGCCTTACGGCATGAGCTTCTAGACACATATGAATGCAGCAGCCTGCAGATACGGAGAGATTTCGCTCCCTGAAACAAGATTTGTGCTTGCCCATTTGCAACATGGACGAGCGTCTGGGACAGGCGGCCTCGGTGTGGCGGATTCCGCTCGACAAAATTCGGACTATTCTACTATGCATGTGTTACGCGCCTTTGGACGAACAAGCGATGCAGTAATACTCGAAGCGATGCAGTAAAACACGTAACGAAGTGGCCAAAAGAGTAAATATGCCGAAACGGTCACGTGTTGATGTATGGCGCATGGAGTACATTGCTCCGTACCTGACGCATTGTGTAATCTGTATTCTATGGCGAAACTGGTAGACACGTCTACTTTTGGACATTGCCACGTTGATGAGAAGCTCCGATGGCTTCTATTGGAGTCGCAAATCCTACTATGGGAAGCAAGGTTTGCACCACGGCCATGTCTAACGCACGTCATTCCGTACAACATTGCGCACCCAGCTCAACCCCAAAAAGGCCCAGAAGCAGCGTGGAGAGAAAGAGAAAGAGAAGGAGAGATACACATGGCAGATTTTCGGAATGCGCGCAATGGCTAGGGTTTGGGTGGCCTGAAACACAGTTGGCGCAACCTGGTGGCAGCTCGCTCACATTGCCTGTCGTGGAGGATTTTTGAGGAAGTAGGAGCGATTGAAGATTGCGGAGTTGATGCCGACGCATGTCATACGTAAGGGTCAGCGGAGGGCGGGAGGCTGAGCAAGACATTTTGGGAGAGCCGGCTAGTGAAACTGTTGAGTGTGCGCAAGTGGGCAGAGTAGGCTGATTGTTACAAGCTGACCAAGGTGACAGATTGTTTGGGAATATCATGGTGGAGTGGGAGGCCCCGCAAAGGGTCTTTTGCTAGTCGTCTGCACGAGTCATAAAGTTTGCAAATGCAGTATCTCTTGCTTGTCAATGTCGTGAAACTAATCTACGCTCACGAACGGAGGTGGGCAAGCCACGGGTGTTGGTCCGGATCGACGAGATATTTACGGATGCACGGTGGCGGTTTGCTGGAGAATCCATGGCGTTTCTAGGGAATCTATTGGGGCACTAAACGGACAGCAAGGTCCATCAAGATGCCCATGGCAGGTGGGAAATAGAGTTCAGGGACTTGCCAATGTGCTTGAGGCCGGGAGCGGAGGACGCTGCAGCGCCGTTTGCGGAGCGAAAAGGTTTCCGTGAATATTCGGATTTGAACCGAGAATTTGTGTAACTCTGGACAGGAAACGGGGCCATCAGGGTCAACGGTGTGAGGTAGGGTAACGTCGGGAGGATGAAAACATGGCAATTCACAATGCTGGCTTAAAGAGAAGAAGCGCCAAAAGAGGTCGCAATGCCTTTCTAGAAGACGTGTCGCGCCGCTTTTGTCACCCTACCAATATCCAGAGTTTGACGGGCAGGGAGGTCGACGTTTCCTCTACGCAGGGCTAAAATAGCCCCTGGGGGGCGGGTTTGTGGTGGAATCGAAACTCTGGAGAATTGAAAAAATGCAGGTTATCTGGAGGTGGGTAGGACTCTAGACACGGTTCCCGCACTTGGGGTGTGAACTACAGGTGGGCGGGCCGGACCCTCCGCGGAGGACGGGCGAATAAGAGAATGGCCGAAATGGGACCGGACCAAGAAGACGAGTTTCTGTGAGCCCTGGCGACATGTTCAGCGTGTTCAACGTGTGAGGGTGGGTTAGTGCAAGCCTAGGAGAAATGATGCGTTGTAGGAGCCGGATCTCCGTGATCGTCCAGGGACCTTTTACGGCCAATGTCGATCATGACCCATCATGTGCTTGGTCCAAAGGAGGTTGCCGATTTACAAAGATTGGTTTCAACGCAAGGGGGTAACCTGGCACGGCGAATCAAGACGCGTGTGGCGCCAAGCAGCGCGCTATCAGTCAATAGAACAGGCCCGCAGAAGACTGCTCGGTAAGACTGGCAACCGAAAAAGGCTCAGTCGAGGGTGGCAGCACGTCGACATGAGCCGAGTTTGTGAATATCGGAGGGAAGATGAAGCGAACACGAGCATAAAGGGGGAGGAGAAGAGCTGACGCTACGGATGGAGGCGCATGCATCTACCAAACTCTTGGGGTGGAGGGTAGGGTCTTAGTCTTGAGCAGCGGTGAGGCAATTGCGCTGCACGAGTGCAGATTGACAGCTAGACAGAGATGGAGGGCGATTGCGAGAACGCGGTGTGTGCGTGTAGACGGGCGCTCGTGTTGGCATCGAGTAGTCGGGCCAAATTTGTGCAACATGTTGCATAGTAGCGTCATAGCAGCAGGTGTATGTAGGTAGAGTACCATGTGTGCGACTGAATTGGGTATGGCGCGTGACAAGCCAACTAATACTACTACTGCTGTCTTGTTAGCGTGTACGGGGGGGGGGGCAGTTGAGAAGTTCAGATGCTGATCGCAGCCGAGTTTGGGCGAGGCGGGCAAGTCAAAGTCAGATTGCGAGCCAGCTGGAGCCCTTCTGTCAGTAGCAATCCGGGGCAAGCGAGACGGTAGCAGAACATCTGGTCATGGCAGCGAAGAGGCAGCGTGATAGGCGTCGTGGGAGGGTCGATGGGTGGATGGGTTTGGGGGGAGGGGTGGGTTGGAGGGGCTAGATGATGGAGGCGACGGGGCTTCTGAGTGGCCGCGAGGTGCGATGTGACTTGTTGAAACACGAACGATGCAAGGAGAAGCTAATGGGGACAGAGTGGCCCCCGTCCCCGTCTGTTCGCGCCCCAAAAGTCGAGGGCGGACTGTGTGATCAACGATGGAGAGTGAACGTGCGGGCAATTCGAGCATGTTCACGGCTGGTGTATAGACCAGTATGTATTATATGGCCGAAGGGGTATAAATTGCTTTTGTTAAGAGCTTGTGGGAGCAGCGTTGATCCTGGCTTGCAGCCGTGTCGCACGAGAGCCGGCGCGTGTTGCATTTGGCGCGCGTCTTTTGGCGAAGAACTGGAGATTGCATGTAGAGAGGGTAGTGACGACGATGGTGGTGGTGGTAGCATTAGGAGAGAATGGTGTGTAGTACAGAGCACATCAGCTAGTGCCGTGTAGGAAAGGGTCTGCGTGCTGGGGGTGAAACAGAAGGAGAATTTGCCAGTGGAGCCGAGCGAGTGGCAACGAGGCGTCGTGTGCGTGTGTGGTACCTGTCAGCGCGTGAAAAGGCGAAGAGCGAGACGCGATTCGTGGCGGGCGCTGGCGGCCAAGGCGGCGCTGGAAGGATTGCGTTCCTGACTACTGGCACAGGGTGGGTGGGATGTGGGATGAGGTCGAGATCGAGGTCGAGGTCGAGGTCGAGGTCGAGGCCGGCCGTGGCAGCCATGACAGCCAGCTTCGCCCTCTTGAACTCAGCTCGACGATGGTGGTGGAGAGGGCACGACTGGGGACAGGATAGGGTGGACAGGGATGGCGGTTGTGTGTGGATGGAAAACAGAGTAATGTTTTGTCACGGTTTGTGTGTGCACTAGTCGTGCGTCCTTTGCAGAAGCAGTAGCATCATCAGCAGCAGCATCATCATCATCATCACCATCGTGGGCCATGCGCATGAATCAGCCACAGTGCCGTCATTGCCCAGCCCCGCTTGCAGTGGGCTGTTTGACGTAGGGTAGTTGCAGTTGCACATGGAAGTAGGATCAGACGCGGTACATTACATATGTACATGTAAGTGTGAGTGAGTGTGTGTATTATAGCATGTATAATTGCACAGGTGTATATATGTACTATGCATGAACGGATTCAATATACACGTGTACGTACGTACGTACACACATACATACACACGTGTACATACATACATACTACTACATCTACATGCTACATCGATAGCACAGTACCATGCGTATCGACGAGCTGCCAGTGCCAGTGCCAGTGCCAATGCCGATGCCAATGCTCTTCGCACTCTACTACTCTTCCCCACACCGCCATGGCAACACATGTTTCCAGGGTCGCGAAAAAGGCCCAGCTGCAAATCCCGTGCACAGACGGCGATCACCAAGTTCGCAGAGGGCGTGCTGGCTGGGCAGTCGACTGGCTGCTTAAACGGGCGTGTGATGCATGTGCATGATTCACTCCAGGATGCCCTGTCTGTGCGCGCTAGTCCGCTTGTGGACGTCACTTGACCCGCCCGCCCAAAGCGTGCACATCCTTCATGCCAATCCCAACCTCACCCTCACGCCCCTCGTCATCCACCACGCGCCCTCTGCCAAGCCGCTGCGGGTGATGCGCCGCCAGTCCAAGGTTCACGCCTCCCACCAGCCCGGTGCACCGCCGGCCTGCCTGGTGCCGCCAAAAGCCCAACCGCCAGAGCAGCACACCGACACCACTCGCCCGCTCCAGCGTCGCCCACAGGCACACCCGCCTGTGGCCTCGTCGCCCGCCCTCCTAGACGACCTCGTCGCTCTGCTCTACTGCTGCTACTGCTACACCCACTGTTACTACACACTACTCTCGCTGGTCTACTACACTACTATCCACATCCCACTCTCCCCCTCCCCCCCCCAGCCAGCCAGCCCCGCCAACCACGCGCAACTGTGTGAAACATGGTAGCGCACCGTCCCGGATCCGCGAGCTTCAGCCCAACCTGTGCCAGTGTCTGCGCCGCCCTGGGGCCACGCCTGCCAGCCCTGGCCTCGCTGTTCCGGCTGCATCCTGCTCTCTCTCCCTCACTCTCTCGCACGCTCTTGGCCACCTCCGCACCAGGTGCTCTCAAGCGCACTCTCGCTGTGCCTCTTCTCACGCGCGTGTGCTGTCGCTTGCTGCCCCTCTGACGCCCTTGATCCGACGTCGGCCCTTGTTATACGCCGGCCGACGTCGTCCCCCCCCCTTCCCTCGTCCCTCGTCCCCCCTTCTCATCCTCACCCGCGCCCATGTCTATTTCCTCTCCGACGGCCGTTTCTGCGAGCCCACCAGGGCCTCAGCGCTGCCGCATGGCCAGAGTTTCGCGACCTGCCTCACCAGCGGCCGCCGTCCAGGAACGTGAAGCTTACGCTGCCCTAACGCCAGGCCCGGCAGCTGCGGAGTCATGGCACACTAGCCTAGCATCGCCCATGGATGGGGCAGTGGGCGCCCGTGGGCTCTGCTAGGTCAATCAACAGGCGGTGGGCGCGCCGCCGTGGCCTCGACGACGGTGCATCCGGACTGTTCCTAGAGTACTGGTCTGGTGCTGCTGCGACCACGACGGCTACACACGTCCTAGTCGTCGTCTTGCCTGTTGATCGCCTCATGGGCCAGAACCAGAACCCGCAAACTGGCGGCCGCCCCAGAACAGCCCACCCCAGCAGGGCTGCCTCAGGTCGAGTCTGTCCGTCCAGGGACTAGCTGCATCCTCAGCAGGGGCGATCGCTGCGCTACTGTGCCCATCAACTGTCGGCCACCCCAACCGGGCTAACCTAACCCCTCCGCCCCCCTCCCCTCCCTCGAAGCGACCAGTCCTGTCGTATGCGTCTCATGGCTGCCGGGTACATGCCATTCCCTCCCCCAAGCAGGCACGTTGTCACGTAGTGCCCTTTGTACTTGCCCCGTCCCAGTCGTGCATATGCCCTCACGCTTGACTTGCCCCATGCACTTAGAGTCATTGCCAGGGCGAGCCATTTGTCTCCGACCGCCTTCATCCCGGCTGTCATGAGTGAGATAGCGTCGTTCTCGTTAGGAGCCATGTCCTGGTCCGCTGGCTGATTCCGCCGTTGCTGCTATTCCCTCTTCTCCCTATTATCGTACTGGGGCCCTGCCAACCCTGATCATACTAGTAGCTTCGCAATTCGCCGACGCATCAATATAACTCCCAAATATACATCGACTCGTTCCCTGGACCACCTACTGGTACCTCCTCTCGCCGCCGACCTATATACCCCATATCGGTGTTTGCCATTTTATTTCTTGCTACGCTTAGACGTGCGCCTCACACCTCTACATTTACCACCCTGTGGCCTCGAGATCTATCCAAACAAATTCCTGGCCATTCATCCTGTTTCCCTACTTGCTGCTTCTGCAACGACGACGACCACCACCACCAAACCACCAACATCCTCAACCCATCTGCCCCCCCCCCCCCCCACCCACGACAACATCATCACACCCTCAACTTCGGGCATAGACACACAAACGCACTTGCCCCACTTGTGTCTTCTGCTCACCTCTGCAACCGTTCTTGCAAACACACGCTTCGCCCTCCTTTTGCGCTGTGCGATCTTGATCCCCTCTTTTGTTTTCCCTTGCCCGCTTCCATCACACGTGAGTATGGCCTTTTTGTTGGAGAACGACTTGACATGGATTTTCCAATGCTGACCTGAATAGCTTCCTTTCCAGGCTATATCCAGTTGCTCAGGATTTTTGTTTTTTTGGCTTCCGATTGAAGATTCTCTCATGTGATTTCGGTCACTATACACGCCTACAACCGTATCTTCGACCCATCTGGATCATTAGTCTTCCAATCAACATCTCCAACTCAAACCAAAACATTTTGCTCATTACCGCAAACAAACAAAAAACCCACTTTCCCCATGTTGCAGGGTATCCGGGCATCCACTTTGACAATGCCTTCGTTCGGACATGACATGTCCCTCGGCGGCGTGCCAAAGGTGGATGGATACAACGACGCCGACTCATGGTCTTGGCCCCAACAACCAACCACCAACCAAACCCCATACCCAAGCATGTTTGAGTCCTCAATGTACACGGGCTTCACACCTCAGATGCAACAGACAGCGCGTCAACCTCCACGCCACCAGTCGATTGCTTCATCTCGTGTGGTTTCAACCGCAGCGAGCACACCACCTCCCCCCAGGCCTCAGGTCGCAGGCAGCATGGTCAAAGCTCAACCCGCCTTCAAGCCCACATGGCACGGTTTCCTCGATACCACCAAAGATGCCATGACTGTAGTCGAGGCCGCACTTCAGGGCCGCCTTAGCCACATAAGCCGCCGACCCCATGACAAGGAGCGCGCCGAGATGCTCACTTCGGGAACTGTCTTGGTCTACGAGGAGAATGCGTCTGGCATCAAGCGCTGGACCGATGCTGTTCACTGGTCACCCAGCCGCGTCATGAACAACTGTCTCATTTACCGCCAACTTGTACGAGCACTCAAGCCCGAGGAGAAGAAGTCTGCGCTAAACCCCTCGTGCGGCTCAAAGAGGAAGCGAAAGGAAAGCAGCGGTCCTGTACGATCAAAGATTGGCGAGATGCTCGAAAACTCTGAGGACGAATACGAGAACCAATCCTTTGACCCTTCGCTTGCTGGCGAAGCCGACCCGATGAACAAGGTCTACGCAAACTTTGCCCAAAGCCTGACACCCGACCAGCAACGGCGATTCTGTGGCTCCCTCATCGACAGCTACGAGTTCAAGGAGGGTGGCTTGATGAAGAAGACCATTTCAGTCAAGTACCAAGGCACCCACCACCACGTCATTTCCTACTACAGTCTTGAGGACGTCGTCAGCGGCAAACTCAAGCGACCGTTTCAGGACCCCAAGCTAGCCGATATCCAACCTAGGCCTGAACTCCTCAGTGGATGGAAGGTCAGTCTTGAAGATGAGGAAAGCAAGGACATGCCCCTCATCACCGGTTACCCACACCACATCCAGCCGAGCCATGTTCAACACCATGTGCTCGGAGCCGTAACACAGGCACTTGGAGCCCAGGGAGTGATGCAAACACATGCTCCCCTCCACCTGGGCGTTCCTGAATACTGGCACGGATCCCAATACACATCAACTCACAACAGCCCGCAACACTATGGTGCCTCGCAGTCTGCTCATCAATACCCAGTCCAGCAGCCCTCGCCTCAAACATACCCAGGTCAGCAGCACTATGCCGCTCATCCTCCATCTCCTCAACAATTCTCATCGCCCCACCCGGCTCCTTCATCGCACTACCCCTCGCAGTCTACTCGGCACTACTCGTACGATCACCCATCAGCCGCACCACCCACCTCCTACTCTCACCATGGACCCACTTCGCAATACCAAGCCCCACAGCCAACCTCATACGCTATGGCCCAGCCCGGCACTTTTGAACCCCAAGCCATCACAGCCCAGAGCTCCCCGGCATCACAACAGCCAAGCCAGATTCCAGTTTCCCAGGCGAGTCAAGGTAGAAGGTCCTCGGCTCCCATTGCTCTCCAACCACTGCCCCAAACGCAGTATCCCTCGGCTCCTCACCCTCATTCGTACTACGTCACGGATGAAAAGTATGTTCCCGAGGAAAAGTACAATGCGAGCGCGCACCCTGGCTACTAAGCCCCAACGTCCATCTTGGAGGCGATTCAGACGGCTCCCGAGGTGACCTTTTTGCGATTTGCTACATTCTCCTACGATATTACCAAGCATACACGAGACATTCATGGTGGATGATTTGAATGCGATACCCCCCTCGGCGCTTCTTCCCTTGGCGAAGGCGATAACTATTCCTGCTCAAGCATTCTTGGACTTTGGTTGGCACTACGCAGTAACATTTTTCTTATCAACGGTCTGCATATATCCTTTGGTTCCACGTACGGTTATGGGCTTTTCGAACTTTTTTCTTAAAAATTGGGCCGTACTCTATGCTGTTGAGAGCACTACAGGTGTTTTTTGCTATACAAATTGACTTTGGTTTTTTGAACCCATTCAAAAATGGCTGGTTTTCTGGTAATAGCGTCTGGCTCTATGCTGTGTAATTTCTATATCCCCCCCTTGGTTTATCTGATCAGGCATATATGTCTGTATAGCATTTTTTGCTTCTTCATCTACCATCACCAACATACCCTTGTACAATTATCACCCAATCTGATGGCATCTACCTTAATCTATTTCCAACCACTCACCCCCCCCCCATGGCGGGTTCTTTTATTTCTTTTGTCTTCTTTTCTAGAGTAGCAAGGAACCCCTACAAGCCAATTTACGTATACAAAAAAATCTAGATATATCAATCTTGTTTTTTGGGGTACCACTATTATTCCTGTCCACTCTCTCTGTCTGTGTATCCACCCCCTAGAATCCCTCAATCCCACCTCGTACACGCACAAAGACACATACAACGTCACTACTCCTGCTACATACGACTAAGAAATCTCACCTCACCTCATCACTACTCGCCCACAGACACAGATGCCCTTCACATTCACACTCCGTGCGCAACGCACGGCTCCCGCGGCACATCCCCCTCGCAAAAACAACCGCAAAGTAATCTCGCGCCCCATAAGGCTGAACACGAACACACATCCGACATGGTGCTTGCTGACCACCCTCCCCATCCCATTAGCAGCACCCCAAGCAACGGGCGCGCACATACACACAAAGCCGACTTAAGCCACCCCTCCCCCCCACATGCATCCCATAACCTCCATACTCCACTTTCCGTGTCTGATGAGACCCAGCTTTTGACATGGGTAAGGTAAGTAAAGTGAAGTGTTACAAGGGGGAGAGGGGAAAGCAGAGACAAGAAAAAAAAAGTGGAGAAAAGAAAAGAGTGGAGTCGGGGAGAGTGGGGACTTGTTGCGGTAATGTTCGGGCTTTGTCGGCGGTAATTCTTTTTGGTTCAGTGGGTTTTGGGTGCAATGGAGAAGGGCCGATCGGAGGGTGGGATGGGGTTGAGGTAGGTAAGATGCATGAGCGGGTGGACGGACGGACGGGCGAAGAAGGGGGGGGGGTGCGTGTGTGTGGGTGTGATAAGGGGGAGTTAGGGTAGTAGGGGATTTTTTGGTATGCTAAAGGGAAAGGGAAAGGGAAGGATACAGAGAGTGCAAAGCGATGTACTCGCGATGCTCGTAATGCTCGTTCAGATGGGTGTTTGATGCAAAGCGCTGGCGCGCGCGCGCGCGGACGTTCGCTTACGAGCTTTTGGTGTGGGGCGCGAAGAAAGCGGTCGTTTGTTCGCTCCGACCTTGTGGAGATCCCTCTCTCTCTCTCTCTGTCTCTCTTACTATCGCTACTCATTTTGCTACTTTACTTGACTCCACTAGTCCAAGAAATATTTTTGTGTGGGAAAATGCGGTAGTAGCTACGGTAGTTCTTTTCCTCCTCTTTCGTCGTTGTTGTCGTCATTGTCTTTTTTTTTCTGCTTACCAAAGGGAGAGATTCTCGGGTGGTTCGTTTGCGAGTGGGCGGGAGGGGAGATGGGCGGCTGGGCGGCCGAAGTGCAGAGTGCGGTGTGTGCGGGTGAGATGGGCGCGGGTCGGCAGTTGTAGAGAGGTAAGGTTGAGAGGGGGGGGGGGCATGGGATCGAGTCGATTGGGGAGGTTTTGATCTCTCTGCGGGAAGAGGGAGGTTGGTTTGTGTTTGCGCAATGCGTAGGGCTGATACTTCGAAGTTAAGATATTGAGATTTGATTTTTTGCCATGTTGTGGTTGCAGTTCATGATGCTAGAGTTGGGCGCGCGGAGAAATGCTCATCCAACCCCGTCCCTCCCCCTTGAATCTCATTCACATGTTTGCAATGTCATGTGAGCACGACGGCTTTCACGGTCTTACTTGTGTATAAATTGTTTGTGCTATTAATTTATCAGAGGACACAATTGATGAGGGAGTTTTTACGTTATGAAATTGAAGTGCTTTCTAGACGTGAGGAATTGTGGTGAGGTATTGACGTGATCGTAAGCCTCCGTTATGTCTTTTGCAATCTACTAGCCCATTCTGCATTTGGATGCATAACGAAGAGTAGGGACTACGAATGTTATAGACGCACTATGCGTTTTGAGACAGCCTGTACAATAGCCCCACACCTTCTGCTTGCCCCATCGCTAGACCATACCGGCAGATCACAAATCATGTACACAGAACATGTCAGCTTTTCCTAAAATTGCAGAGACGAGACTCTTGCTTTCTCCCTTTTTTCCTAATCCCTATATACGCCGTCTCCTATGGAAAAAAGACCTGTATATTGCTGGCCCACTTTTTACTTACACGCAATGCATAACCAGGCACATATTCTCCCCCCTTTTCGCTAGTATCAATCTGACACAACCGCTGGTAAGCCTGCAAGGAGAAGAAGAAGAAGCCAAGGGGAGAACACGAAACAAAAAAAAACAAGGAAAAACGGCAGCCACACCCGCAAACACCGAGCGAACCAGCGATCAAGAAGAAGCAAAAAGATTCCAGAGCCTCATTGTAGCTCCACCAAACCATGGTTCGCCTTACATAGCCACTAGCAGAACATCGGTAGTCATGACGCTCGAAACCCACACTTGCCCGCCCACGGCCACATGAAGCCGTGTACGTATCCACACGTATCCACATGATGTTATCCCCTTTTCTCCTACTATACCGGTACATGTTATGACGAGTATACATCGGGCCGTACTATACAATTTTCCCATGTCATACCCGCCCTTCTTTTTTGTCGCCTGTCCGCGTAAAACACATAACACATATGTAGCATGACGTGGCGACCCCATGCGCGGAAAAAACCACGGTTGACAAAGACGTGGTGGTCTAGATTGCGGTGAGCTTCACCGCGTTTCTGGGACGTTGGCGCCATCATTATTGTTGCATAGGCAAGTGCAGATGTGGTAGGATGGATTGGGGGAGTAGGCCGGGGGGTGGCGGACCGGGGAACGGGCGGAATCATCGCGCAGTGGGGAGATGCGATGGTGTGAGATGGCTGTTGGGTGGTGCCTTTTTTTGTGCATAGCCGAGGGTGGGTGTTTTCTGCTCTGCATCTTGGTAATTGTGGATTAGTGGTTGGTCTTGGTTTCCGGTCTTGGTTCCCGGTCTATCCGGTCTGATTTGGAAGCGAAGGAGGAAGGGGGAGAAGATGAGGCGAGATGCATGGTCTAGATGGATGTGAGGGGAAGCTGCCTTGGCCCGTGTCTCGTTTCTCATGTCTTTACGTTGTTGGGTGAGGTCTAGAGTCTTGATTAGAAATGCTGTGTATAAACGCTAAGACTAGGGGGGAAGTTACGAAAATAGAATGACATTGGGTTGCTTCTTGTTCTAGTTTTGAGAGCTTATGGAGTGCGTGGGTTGCCAAAGATAATGAAGTAGGCTATGTTGGATGCTGTCTAGACACGCCGTCCATAGCTGTCTTTGACATCTATGTTATGTCTTCCTTCAATGAAAGCTTCTTCGTTCATTCTCATGTCGGTACTAGTCTTCGGGCGTAAGGAGTTTAGCGTTCTTGGAGGCGGCACTAACTACTTGTATCCGCTTTTGTAGACTTATCCTCATTGCGTTGTCTCATGAATAGTATCGCTCTTGGGGGATTCTTTTGAAGAGGGTAACTGGCGGTTGCTCATGAATGATGTGATTGGATTTGAGATAGGTCACGACGATAGTAGAACGCTTCATGCCGCCCTAGCTCGTTAGCATTGCCGTTTTTGTTCAGCACTGACGACATCGATGTGCTATTTGACTTTGCTAATATAGACGAAAAGATAGAGGATGGTGGAAAGGTTTCTCCGTCGAATCATATAGAGACATTGGACTGTCAAATATATCCTGAATACAGCTGGAGTGGTGGGAGGAAGTAGGTAGATATATCTATGCTAGCTGATATTAACTTTGAAAATCATTGAAGCTGTCTAATTGCTACTAGAATGAGTGACGTAGTGCTTTATTGCAGTATTGACACTTTATTTTGAGTTGACTGCGTCATGCAATCCAGAACGACTATAGGTGAGCAGAAGGGACCGGTTTTAGTTCTGACTACCTACAAAAGTTTCCGTCCAAGTGCGGAGATATACAGCCCTGCATTAGTGTAAGTTAAAAAAATCTACGACATGTAGCTTTTCATGAGGAAGCTAATGTATGATGCATAGTTTTTTGTCCGAAATCGTTCCCGTAGTTGATGTTTCTAGAGTGGCTAAAGAACTTGAAGGCTCCGCGGAGACACTTCTGTATCAAGGAAATTTGGATCGGGGCTGCACTATACTTTTGGCAGAAGGTTTTACATTTCAGGAAGGACAGGAAATCAGAATGCCATGTCTAGATGTTTATAGTATGCTTGAGGCTAAAAAGAGATAGATTGAGTCTGGGCAGTGTGGGCTTTGATGACCTCAACTAGTCCGGGAGCTACCAACTGTATCCCACAATGAGCTTGAAGGAAACTAATAACTCTGTGAGAGATTTGGATGACTCCTTTTGCTAAAGGGCTATTGATCACTTGAGCTGCATTTCAGTCCCGTTGATGGAGACAGAAGTTGTGATTATGAAAGTGGTATTAATATTGGCATATATGACAATCAGGAATTAATTCTTTTATGCAAAGAACTTTTGAAATTCCCAAAGGAAAGGAAATCGATGTTCAGCGATATTCGCATCACTGTCTATACATTGCAGCATGGTCGAGGGAGATATAGGAAATATTGAGGCATGCAACATGCACTTGCGTAGACTATCAAATGCAAAGATTTTCTGCGCTGATAATTCGCCTGTAGCGAGCGAGCTGTTGGATGCTGTGTTACCAGTTTGGCTCTATGGCAACACCCTATCCTCGCATACCAACGGCCGCCAGAACAACCGTTGGATTGCTCGATCGATGCCCATTCCTGCATACATGCATTGTAAAACTCAATCGATTGTCCTCATTTAATTAAGGCCTTTTGCATTGACAAGTGCACAACCTCGTGAAATGAGTACCTTGGTGTATGCACGATGTGCTGTTCAATTAGGACTCGCATTCGTAATTTTACACTTTCTGATAGACATAAACTATAAATCTGCTTCTGGATGCCTTGGAATCACTAAAAGTCCCTGCATTTCACCTCGAAACAGATTAAGGTTGCGGTGTAAGTAAGGTTTGGACTGCATCCTTATGTCTACTAATATAGGATGCGATTGCGCACGGGCCGCTAGTTATGGTGACGCCCACCGTCATTTTGGCATGTAGCTACACACAATGCTCACGCAATCGATTTCAAATTCCTACCACATGTCTGTTGTTTTGCTAACTTGAATAGCTCATTTTCTTTCCAGGGACAGCTGGCTGACCGCCATCACCACCACCAGTGCATTCAGATACCTCCGCGGAAAGTTCAAGATAGGGACACCTTTGACAGCAAAGACAGTTGCTTGGATGCTGAATGAAAAGTATACCGATCGAACATGCGCGCCAGATCTGGGATTCTCGTACCCAGTATACTTCAATGCGAATGCGATGGACATGTACCCCGCACGCCGTCCAAGTACAACCGCGTACGTGCAGGCCAAGCGTATCGCACCCCCCTCAACCCCTCACAATCAAACCTCCGATGAAGAGACAGTGCACGAGAATCCGAGGCGCCGAGATCTGCAGCGACGGGGGGGAAGGCAGCAATCGGTCGGCGCTGCTACCGAGAGCTCAGCTCTTGAACGGGGAAACGCGAAGGCTCAATAGCTTGTGACGCCGAGGCAAAGGTGCGCCCATGTCCTGCAACGCCAGTCGCGCGACGCACACACACTGGAAATGGTCTGGGAAGCCACAAGCGACGATATCTTAGTTCGCAACATCGAGGCAGTCATGATGCCATGCCATGTGGATGCATCCATGATTGCATTGCAGAGGCAACGATCAAATGACGCTGTGGCGGACAAAGGATGGGACTATTGCTAATTGTGTGCGTACCAAGGCGTCCCAGTCCAGGCCCCTGGGGCGAACCCAAGCAACACTAACTTAAATGCACGCCATCACCGAGCCCGCCTTTCCCCCCCTCCCACCTGCAACCCTGAAATGCAGACCATGGCATGATGCGTGGGGCGCCGCCTAGTTTAGTGGCTTGAACAAAGGGAAAGAATAGCCAGCAGTGACCCTGCGCAAGCCGGAGTAGTCTCCTAGCCTAACAGCCTTCATCCTAGAGTAACAAGCGGACGGGCGGGTTGTCCGACTTGAGTCGACTAACAATTGTGACTAGCAACGCCACAGGGCTCTCCCTTCTCCCCAGGTGCAAGCGAACATGGGACCACCGCCACACTACTCGTACGCGAAAGACCCGACCTAGACCCTTGCCTCCATCCAACCATCCTTTTTCTTTTCAGCTGGCCGCTATTGCTTTGATAAGCACTTCTTACGAGCTGGGCGGGGGGTGGGGGGAGCGGAAGCAATCTGACGACGAACAAAAAACGCCGCCGTGAACCGCACGCCGCGTGAGTTCCCTAGTACGAATGTACATGTACGTACGGTAAAGCTTTTCCCTTAGAAGCGCAACATCCGACACGAAATCTGCCCGAAAGCAGCGTTCACCATGTCTACTACATAAACCTAGACATGTGCTCACCTGTTCTCCATGCCGTTGTAATCCATGAGGGTTGTGGTGGGTGCAAGGCAGGGTTTTTTTGCCAAACCCTTTCTCTTTCTCTCAACACTTACAACAGGGCCGGTCCAAGGTCACGTCTGCCGTGTGCCAAAAAAACATGGGCTAACCTCGTTGCATTTCTTGTCTTGCACGTGGGCCAAGAAGAATACGTGGGACAAGAAAAATAAGCTGCACATATAGTTCCTTGTTTTTTTGGTTAATTCCTCTCGGAAGACAAGGGAGTTTACAGCAAGGTTTTTGCTTGCGCTAAAACATACGAGAACATGACGACAACTGACGTGATTTGGAGTCTTGGTCGTCACAAATCCGCGTTTCAGAACAAGCACGACCAAGGGACGGGAAGAGGCGGGGAGACAAACATGCTTGTTCGGTATTGGAAGCCGAGCTTGTTTTGGGGGGGAGAAGGGGAATAGGCTTGGTATGAGTTTTAAAATACCTGGATGATATCTGTCACGGTAATTACGAGGGGTTGCCGTTTTGGGTAAATCACAACATCGAGAGGATGGAGGAAAGTTAACGACACGCGTCTGACACCACATTTTTATGAAAAAGTGAAACTGAAGCGATACAGAAATTCTATGGCATCATATCAGGCCATTTTTTTTCCATAGCAAAAACAATAGCTCTGCGTTTGTTGAGTTGCACGCAAAAACGCACGTATCTTTGTCCGATAGCACATATCAAGTCCAACATCAGCTTGCTGAGGTACGCATCAACCCGTATTATGATACATCCGTCCTATTTTTTATGGCACATACGACCATCGGCGAAGTATCGAATTGGGTCTCGTTCGCTCCCCAGACATTAAACCTTCGACCGGCGGACTAGTAGTCAGGTGGGTGACCACTGGCGAATCCCCGCTGTTGTATGTTTTTGCCTTTTGTTTTTGTTTGGAAATCGGAAAATAGAAATCTTAGCAAGAACACTTTTTTTTCTCTTATGAATTTGATTCCTTTTCCTTGTAAAAGAATTGAGTGGTATGTGTGCATAGTTCGTACTTACGTTCGTCTATGCATGGTACATCGGTATATGGCAAGTAAGAAGACCTCAAGTTGGGGAAAAAAAAAGAGACGCAAAGGAAAATAGTCTAGAATTCTTCAATTCTCCAATGCAACACTACGAATCTAAACAAAAGAAAGCTATACACCCGCCGTAGCTCTAAGTGTCTTCTGTATGCAAGCACAAAGCTCTGGTATCCTAAACGGCTTGCTAATAACATTGTCCATGCCTGCCTTAAATGCCACCTCGACCTGCTCACTCCGCACGTTCGCCGTCACGGCAATGACTGGTACATGAGCCCTTACTACGCCTTTGCTCTGTAGTTGGCGAATATTGCGAACGCAGGTTAGACCGTCCATGACGGGCATTTCCCAGTCCATCAGGATGAGCGAGAGAGGCTTGCCAGATCCGTCGGAGACGCAGTAGTCTGTTGTGTGGAGATGCTCGATGGCTTCGCCGCCGTGATTCGCAACTGTGACGTGCATACCTGTGTTGCGAAGCTGTTTGGCGAGCACGCGTTGGTTGACAAGATTGTCTTCGACGATCAAAACGTGGAGGTCCTTGTTCGGTATGTCTGTTGGGACGGTCTTGATGTTGTGAGAATTGGTATTTTCAGTGGCTTCGTTGCGATTTCGGCTGGATAGCAATGTTTCTTGTGCGCGTAGACTCACGCTGACTGCAGCGTCGCTTTCACTTCGGCTGTAATTGGCACGAATACCACTCTTGCGACTCTTTACGTAGAATGAGAATGTGCTGCCAACACTTGGTTTAGAGGCGAAGCCGATTGCGCCGCCATGCATCTCGGATAGTCGCCGTGAGATGAAAAGACCGAGACCAGATCCACCTGAGATATATTAGCAGGGGTAAGTTAGTTATCAGATTCAGGACTTACCATAGTCAATATGTGTGCGTGGCGATGCTTGGGAGAAGCGGGTGAAGAGGAGTTGGTGTTCTTCGTCACTCAGCCCACGGCCAGTATCTTGCACAGAGAATACGATGTAAACCTGTTGATGTTAGGAAAGAAATCAAGCCACAGTATGTAAACCCTACAATATCACCCTTTTCCCAATCGGCCTGCAGTGTCTGCGCCTCTGAAGCTTCCGACGTACGCGAAAACGGCACTTTGCCGTGTTCACTATGGGTCGGACGCTCGAAAGTTATACCCAGACTAACACATATTTTCCGTATGGGTTCCAATCGCGTGAATTTGATTGCATTGGTAATGAGATTCTTCACAGTTAGCCAGTGCTTGTTTATTACTTGGCAACAACTTACGATGAGTATTTGCAAGACTCGTGTTGGATCGAGCGAAACCATTTGAATGTTACTGTTCTCGCAAGAATCTTCCATCAGGAACCGCAAATCCACGCCGGCTGACTTTGCCTCACCCTCAAACATCTTGACTGCATCTCTGGCGATGGACTCCAGTTGGACATCGACTGGTGTCAACACGAACAAACCCGAATCGAGTTTGGATATGGTGAGCACATCTAGACGAGTCAGCCAAACTGGCATGTTGAGAAAATTACATCTCAGACTGTTTCATACCATCAACAATGGTTTTCATATGCTTGGAACATTGAACAATCGTTTCGGCGGCGTCAATGGTTGTTTCCAAGATGTTTCGATAGACTTTTTGGTAATCCGGTGACTCGCCAAAAGCCCTATGAGTGGATATGATGCTCTACACGTTGCAATCAGTACCTTTGCCGTCTTCGCATAAAATCCTTACATACGTCGGCACATTGAACAATTGCAGAGAGAGGGTTGCGCATCTCATGTCTGGGTTGAAGTCAGACGACACACACTTCTACAAGGTGGCCACACCTTTGAGACTTACGAAGTAGTGTCAATAAAGTTCTCCAAGCTCCTGTAAACATTCTGTCAGGATAAAACTATCATTGGGTGAGGGCAAAAGTACCGCTTAGACTCTCGAGCTCTCTCTGCCTGGGTAGCTTGGAGCTTCTCACTCCACTTCTGTTGACTAGCAGTTGTAAGTACCCTTTTAGAGACCGCACCAGGGAGGCCAATACCTGATATCCGTACAACAACCAATCAACTCAATCACTGCGCCGTCGTCGTTAAGCTCAGGAAAAATTGATGTCAGGACCCACATAGGCTGTTCTTCGGACATTGTATCATCGAGACCCTGACTTGGTGCATTCCAGGTCTTCTTGAGACGCAGTTCGAAAGACCTAATCGATATGAGCTAGACGTTAACACAGGAAACGGGCATCTTACTGGTGCTCTTTGGTCTCCATAAGTTTCTTGAACTTGGCATGTCCTAGAGGAAGAAAGTCTTCGTCTACAACCTCGTCCCACGCTTCTTCAAGACTGACATCGCGACTCTTCGGGCTCAACATCTCAAACCAGGCATCATTTCTGTACGAATAAACTCCATCCATATCGACAAGAAAAATACCAACGTCGGCACGCTCTGCAAAACGCCTGAACTTGGACAGATTGCGCTCCGACTCCAGCTGGGATTGTGTCAGTTGCTGTCTGAGCTGATACTTCATCGCTTCGGCGGTGGCTATCGTTTGTTCCCGACGTCCAATGTCTTCTTCGTGAAGCAAGATTGATGTAAGAGATGTGGAAAGTAAGCGACTAGCAACCAAAATAAACTGATAATAGGTGTCATTGAAGGGTCTACGCGGATTCAGTCCCATAACTAGGAACCCAAGTATATTATCTCGCGAAGAAGTTGGGTTCAAGGGACAGATAGCCGCTGATTTGCAAGGATCTCCAAACCCCTGCCATTCGACACCATGAACAAGTTCTGCAGCGACAGGATCTTGGTCAAAGTGTACGATGATTGGTTTTCGAGCTGCAAGAGCCTGTCGGAAATACGGTGTGAATCCATGGTCCTGCTGGAAATCCAAGTGCTCTGGACAGGCTGGTGATCCTTTGGGGAGCCCAAAGGAGTCTCGAAGTTTGCAATGCTGTTGATTATTGTCGGAAAATCGAGTCCTACTTGATGTAGAGCCGCTGGTGTCAGCATCGGCAGAGTACAGAAGAACGAAGGGCATGTCCTTGTCGTTCCGTGACAAAACTTCGGTAGCAACGTTCCAGTAGGTATCGGAGTTTCGTGCGGTCGGAATCTCTTCACTCAATTCAAGAAGTGTACGTGAGCGTCTTTGCGTAACTACTTCTTTAGTCTGTGTGGGCATTAGTAGGCCTGTAAGAGGATAGATGAAATGGCCATATCTGTTCGCTTCCGTCCAAAGAGTTTAGGACAAAGTCTGATTTCTCGATCAAAGTCTTGTAAACCTAAAGTAGTGGTCTCAGATGAGTTCAGGAAAAACTGCTTCTTCAAGAACCCTAGGGAGGCCACAAAAAGCACGAAACATCTATAAAGTGTAAAAACAGGGGGTTCAACGTACTGTTTCAACCAAAGGTTCATAATGGCCAACGGTAGCACCTGTGGAGTCCAATATTGGGATGAACTTCAACGAAAAGTACGTTTCTTCCATGTATCCATTGCGTACCATGTGAATCGCAGTGTTGGTTTTCTGAACAGTCTCTCCGGCCAGGTTCTTTTCAATAATTGGTTCAAAGTACTCACCCCAGACTGTGGAAAGTGCAACACGCGCACTTTCTCCCATGCATGGATGGAAGCCTCCTAGAAGGCCAATCTCGGCTTCGTTGTATATCATGATGAGATCTGGCCCATAGAATATCACGGCGGGTTGCGGGTCCATCATGACCAAGTTGCAAAAGCTGCGCAGTTCAGACGACCAGGAACGCATTGGGCCCAGAGGGGTAGAGGACCAATCGATACTGCGCGCCCATGCCGCATGAGGAGACAGTCGGTCTGGAAATGTTTCTTCGTCTGTCCAGTCAAAATGCGATGGCTTTGCGTTAGAGATTTCTTTTGTGGGAGCCTTTGTGTTGGAGTTGCCGCTGTTCGCGCGCACACTAACGCAGACACCGCTGATGACGTTCCAACGACTAGCGACCTGAACCTTTGTCCAGTCGAACCCAAGGTACGGAAACGACACCTTTGGCGCGTCTTGCTCCTGGCACCATTTTTGGTATGGGGTAAATGGCAGGTAGCCTTCCTCATGGTTGTTTTGCGCAATGACTTTGCGGCCTAGGAGTCGCAACAGGCCTTCAGGATTTGCAGTGGCCATGGCCGGATTCCAATAATCCAATACATATGGATTCAGACAGTCGGCATTCTCTGGTCTCGTGTCAATTACAAAGGTAGGGCGGGAGTCTTTGTGCAAAAGTTCCAGCATGCCTACGCGATGGAGTGGTGGTACATCATTTTTCGACGGTTTCAGAAGTACGGGGTCGCGTGCAGGCGTGGCCATGATGTGCGTTCAACGCTGCATGGGACGTCTGGTCCTCGTGTTGGGCGGAAACTTTACCCAGCCGGATAACGTGCTAAATGTCGTTGGTATTGAGGTAATGCGGGACAACCGTTGCTGTAGCTCGGAGTGTTTGGTAAAACAGCGCAGTTTCTCCAGGCGCCTGGCCTTGCCATGTGGGTCTTGTCCTAGACGCTTGTTGTTCCTAGCGCGCATCCTGCGGCGACGATCGAAGATCATATTTTCCAGCAGGAACTCGAACAGGTTAATGCCATCAGGTATATACAGGCAGTACACAACCACCGCGAGCTGCAAAGTTGCCAAATAGATACATGAGCGAACATGGAGTACGATACTTTGCTGACGTTAAACAGCAGTCATGTATCCGTGCACGGCACCATCTACCGACCTCACGGGTCCATCATAGACGATATAGCGGCATCGGCTGTCCCGCTATACCATCGCATTCATACTTCTACTTATACCGTATTCATACTGTACATATTTGTGGAACATTAACGGGCGAATAAAGATAGAATTAAAGACATCGATGAAACTGCGCCACCCGGCAATGATCAGCAACCACAACCAGTAACACTTTATACACGAACATTAAGGCTTGTCGCTTGCATTCAGCCGCATTTGTTCGCTTGTTGATCGTTCTTGGAATCAGAACCCTAGCATTAGTTACCCAATTCTATTGATGCAAAAACCTCCTATAGGCTGATGAGAATATGCTTCCATCGGCCCCGTCTTAGCCATCCTTCCCGAATGGCTCTAGTTCCCATCAATCCATCATTTCTCCATATGGCCTGACATTAATATCAACAGATTGGAACAGAATATCTTTTGAGTAGTAACGGACTTGTTAGCCAACTTTGTTGCGCTTTCACGACAGTTTGTGCCATGAGACGACGAATCTCAAGCGGATTATTCGTCATTCTCTCCACCAAGATTCTAGATAAGAGGATTAAGAGCAAGACCTTGTTCTACATTACTAACAGGGTGATATGACCTACTAAATTTCTAATTGCGGCTATCTAATGGTTGTAGAGAAGTTGCGACTTTGATCATAGAACATCCAGAAAATATCAGAAGGGAGTGGTGGTATTAACAATGTGCTAATATGCTTAGTCAAGACCATATATGTGTGAATAATTTAAGGCTGTTTATCTTATGTGTGCATTGGTAGAACAGGTGTAAGTTTTATGGATTGTATAGCTTAAAAGCAGGGCTTGGTACGAGACGCTCTGGTATGTTGTTAGTTCACTTTTTTTTCTAGTCTGTATCATGTTGCTGACATTGCCAACGGCATTGACACACAAGTACTTGGCACCGATGATTGCATCCAAGGATAGAAAATCCGGAACGACAACTCGCATCGCCCTTGATAGCGCTTAAAGAAGGCGCTTGCGGTTCTCTGGATGCTTGCTCGGATGCCGCACAGCTGCTGCACAAGGACACTTCAGGTTAACATACTACAGAATGTAAAATCATGACCGCACTCATAGCCCACGAATTGCGGTAGAATGAGCCGGGTACTTGCGGCGGCTAAAATCGGTTTGAGTCCAGATCTGTGGATGTGGTACCCGCGCTGCCACCATACAGGCGGGATCCAGATGTGCAGCCAATGTCGGAGAATTAACATGTCGAAGAAACACCAAGACTATTGAAACAAGTATAAAGCGTCAGCAGAATAACAAGATGGAAGAACAGGAACTTGCCGGTTAATAACATCGGGCCGTTGTCATCATGTTAGCCTTAGTTCACTCTGGCACCAAACGCGACGGCACCCACTTCTCTCATTCATTTCACCATGATCTTCCTCTAGGTCCAAAAAACATACATGTATGTCACCTCGACGCCTTTTTCGGACGTCAAGACTATTGGATCCATGAAAACTGACTAGTTCAAAGAGTCTTAACACCGCGCAGAAGCAAAGAAAAAAACCAAAAGGTAATCTCCGCCTCAGTGCATATACAATTTCTATAAAGCTCGCTAATAACCATGAAACAATTTGCTATGAGCAGGGAGCGTTTCATAAATCCTTCCCACAATCGACCCGCCCACGCTATACCCCGATAAGCCGGCGATGGATCCCGTCTCCGCTGATTCCGGTTTAGTGCTTCGAGCGCGAACGTTTCATACCGGCGTTTGCACTACCAAACAGCTGTCATGTCATCGGTCGGCCTGTCAAAGCTGTTCATGCGAGCAGCTATAGCGCGCGCGATACTGCATGTAGTCATGCCGCCGTTTCGATTCCACTCTGCGGTTCACTTTGTCCTGCCGAGACGGCAGGCTAAGCCTAAGCATGAGCTTGAACTGAGTCGAGGTACTGCTTATATGACACTCGAGTGCCTCTCGTTGTATTGTTTTGTTTCCATTGCTCACTGAGGTCATTCATTCATTCGTTCATTCCTTCGTTTCGTCCCAAGTAGACACTCATTTCACATTCTCTCTACAACCCACTTACAGCTGGTCTCTGTTTACTTTTGATTAAACAACATACTCAAGATTCTCAAGATGTTTGGAAAGGCTACTCTCATGAGCGCGCTGCTCAGCGCTGCCTCGGCTGGTAAGGCCAACAAAAAATGGGGAAACTCAAAGCCCATGTGCTGATCCGGTGTTACTAGAAATCGTCTGGGACGGTCGCTTCAACGACATGACCTCCAGCACTGATCTGTCAAAATGGTCCTTCGCCAACCCCGTCGGTTCCTACCAATACTACATCCACGGTTCTGGCCCCGTGACCGACTACGTCAACCTCGACCCTTCGTTCAAGAACCCCGCCGACAAGGCCTCCAAGCAAGGTGCCAAGATCACCATTGACGAGACGTCCAAGTGGAATGGCCAGACCATGCTGCGCACTGAGCTCATCCCCCAGACCAAGGCGGCCATCAACCAGGGCAAGAAGTTCTACCACTTCTCCATCAAGACCTCGACCGAGAACAAGCCCACAGCCACCAACGAGCACCAAATCGCCTTCTTCGAGTCCCACTTCACGGAGCTCAAGTACGGCGCCTCGGGCTCCGCAAACACCAAGCTCCAGTGGCACGTTGGCGGCGTCTCCAAGTGGGACGTCGAACTCAAGCCCGACGAGTGGCACAACGTCGCCTACGAGATTGACTTCTCCGGCGGCTCCGTCACCTTCTGGCACTCCACCGGCAGCGACGACCTCAAGAAGACTGCTGGCCCATTCACCGCTAGCACCCAGTCCAACGGCGCTGACTTCCACATCGGTACCCTGAGACTGCCGGGCGCCGCCGACGCTGCTGGTGCCGAGGACTGGTTCTTCAGCGGCGTATACATTGAGGATGGAGAGCTGACTACCAAGATCGGTGATGGATCTGCTGCTGCACCTGACACACCTGTTGCTAAGCCTTCTTCTGCTGCTCCTGCTGCTACTCCTTCTCCTACTCCTGCTGCTACCAAGCCGGAGGGCCAGACCGGTGGACAGGCTCCCGCTGCTTCTCCCAGCGCCGCCCCATCTTCTTTCGCCACTTCTGTGATCTCCACCACTCCTACTCCTTCCGCTGCTCCTTCCGCTGCTCCTGCTCCTGCTCCCGGTGCTGGATCTGGCGCTGGTGCCGGTACTGGATCCGGCTCTGACGCTGTTCTCCCCAAGGAGTTCACCATCAAGGAGTTCGTCGCATGGCTCAGGGCTAAGCAGGGACAGAACTAAGCTAGCATGTTACGCGCAGCACGTGGAGCTCAATACCCCATCTTTCCTCTAGAACAGCACCCTATGTTCTCTGTAAATATTCTTGTAATGTTGTTTATAAAACCAAAACCATTCTTTTTGGCAGTGTCATTGTCCTTGCTCTCTCATCTAGCTATTGCCTCTCCGTGCACACTTCATACCCACTACAGCTTTACTACAGCTCGCTCCTATGTTTAAGACCTATCGCATTTTGTTCTCCACGCTCCTCATTCAGCGCAGCCACCATCTCGTTGCTCGCCTTCAAATGCTCAAATTTCGGCGCATCCTCACCCAATCCCCACGCAAACACGCCTCCCAGCTCTTTTTCCGTCATGATGATCTGCATCTTACGTTTGATAGCATCAGGTGTGTCCCAAGACCAAAACAGCCTCTCCTCCTCATCCCAGTAGTAGTGCCCACCACCTACCTCATCATACACACCCTTTTCCATGGCGCGGTTAAACGATGCAGATAGTTCTTGAGGAACGGTATCGTGCCAGGAAAACGCACCAGCTTTACCTAGATCAGCGCCTGTGACTGGGTCTTCCATGAGCTCTGTAGCGCATCCAATCGGATCGGCGCTGCAAGTAGAGTTTGCGGCTGTTTTGTACCACTTGATATAGAAAGCTAGTCCTAGATTTGCTTTTTCCGGCGGCACGCCGGCGGCGAGGTATGCGTCTATGGCTTCGAGGGAGAGTTGCAGGCCAGTATGGTGTTTGGTCACGTTGTCGCGGCGGTTAAACAAATCGTATGTCATGATGTTTAAGTAATCGACTGAGGCCATGATGCTGGGGATGGTGGAGGATGTGAAGGCTAGCATGTCACGTGGGAGACCGGGAACGGCTGCTGTGATGGTTTTGCTGGGGCCAACAGCAGCGCGGATCTCGGCGAGGAGTTTGGGGTAGGCATTGATTTCCCAGGCTTTGTCGCTGTTGAGGTGGCCGGGTTGCTTGTAGTCTTCACCGTTGCCGCCTGCGTACTCCCAGTCTACGTCGATGCCTGCGTTCAGTTAGCGGACACTTTCTCTTCAATTGCCGGGCTTTTCATACCATCTGCACCCGTCGCATCTAGCATGGCCCGAACATTCTTTGCAAAGAGCTTGCGGCTTTCTTCCGTCTTTGCTGCGGCTGAGAAGCCGTCGGTGTCGCCCCATCCGCCAATGGCAACTTGAATGATGGTTCCGTTGGCGAACTTGGGTCTGATTTCATCTATGGTAGTGAAGAGCGGCCATTCGCTTTGCGTGGGGTTATTAAAAGTATCAGATCGCATGAAAGCGAGAGCCACTTCGGTTATGTTTTCGACCAAAGGCGACTCGGGCACGACATTGTGTTGTCTGGAAGCAGTCAGTTGCCTACGTTGAGACACAGAATCTCTCAGGAAGTAGTGTACCCGGTCAGATACATAATGTATCTCAGCTTCGATGTTTTTGCCGCGACACTTGCTAGAATTGAGCATAATACCAATAACAGGTGAAGCCATGATTGATTGCGGGCGGCCATTGTGAAGTGTCTGCTCGAGGAGACATTCCAGGTGTAAGCGTCCAGATCGAGAGATAAAGAATGTCACATGACGAACTCTTGGCATGCAAATAGCCGGGATCATAGAGAAGATCTGCTAGTTGGTATTCGTCCAGTTGACTGTTCCGCCCTATGAACTATTCTGCTATGGCTGATCAACAAAGTTGTCAACGTACTAGTGGCTCATTGCTACCCCGCCTCAACCGAATGCCTTGTCCCGCATCAGTCCGTATGCATACAAGACCCCGCCACATTCACCTTAGCGCGAGCAGTGCAGGACCAAACATGGGGTAGTCGCGACTTGCCGGTTTCCATACCTCGTCATTCGTAAGGCGGTGAGTAAGGCGAAAAAATAACGTGTATCGCGAGGGAGGAAAGATGGACAGTCTCAATGATTTTCAGGCCGGATCTTCTACAAAAGCAGAAGAATAGACAAAGGGTTTTCTTTAGAAATTAGCTAGAATTTCCTTGGATTCAAAGCGTATTTTTACCAGCCCTGTCTAACGTCAGAAAGTCGACATATGGACCAAGAGCAGAGCAGACAGCCGATGAGGTCAAAGGATAGATCAGTAGTACTAGCATGTTTTCCCTTTGCATAGCTACAAACCTGTCAATATTAAATCGTATCCAACTAGTTACAATATCTATGCTCAAGCTCCGTAAGTAAGCGATACGTCATAGCCGGATATTACATCGCACTGTAACCTGATCAGCCACCTTCCCCTCCTCAAAGTTCGGTAACCGAATAATACGGCACAGCAACATGAAACAGAAGTAGCATCCAACCAATTGCATACCCAGTCCCCTAGTTGTAAAAGCCTCATACGATGTAGTAAAGCGATACGTTTCGTCACAGCTAAATCAATCAGTCACACCGGTCCAATTGTATTGCATCGGGAAGCGCCATTCCTAGTCGGAGCCCTGTATATCTATTCAGTGTGGAAGTAAGCCGGATATGGATATGAAGCGCTTGGAAAGATTGTAAGATAGAAAAGACTCGCTTCCATTTAAAAATGGGAATGTAAATATCAGCCTGATTAGAAAATTTCAGCTGCATCATCAACTCGCTCATAATATCTCCTGTAAAAAGTAAGTTGACAACTCGATTGTTTGAGTTCTATGTTAATAGCTACAAGGATGGCTACATACACGCTCTCAATCGTTGTGTGCGGGGAAGGCGACGATCCCAATAACCGTTGCCATTGGTCATTTGTGTTTCACCGTGCCGGGGCAGACAGAGGCAATCTATTGCAGGTGTCGCTCATAGACCGTGATCGTCTATGGTACCAACTCGACCGACGCGATGGCGTAACTGTCCTCAGCCCAAGTTCCGAGGGCTGTTTCCAGGTCGTTACTATCTCCGCCACTCAATATGCGCAAGCCTATTCCATCATCAGCAAAGAGCCGGCCCCAAGGAACGGTAGAGACCGGTGTCAAGATTGGACAGTGAACTGTATCATTGCTCTCGAAGCTGAGGAACTGGTTCCTCCAGGGACTTCTGAGTGGGTCAGCGGACTTGTGGGGAAAACGGCAACAAACTTTGCACAATCTGTAGGGGGTAGATGGGTTGCCAATAGAAGATAGTAAAAGCGGATTCCCTTCAGGAAAAACACAGTGCTCGAGTGGCTCAAGATCCGCTGTATACTACAAGCTCCTTGTCAAGTTGCTCCAAAATTAAATACGCGGCCATGTCGATTTCCCCGCTAAATACTAAATCAAGAGCTGCTTTCCATTCCTGATTTCTTGCTCTTGACCGTGCTTCGTAATATTCCCTGTCCTTGATGCTGTACCCTGACGAACTCCAATCGAGAATACCAGAAATCTTTCCATCCTTTACTAGAATATTATCACGGTGAAGGTCACCATGCGTAAAAACAATCGTGGGCTCGTTGAGGCTTTCGATCTTGTGTATCAAAGCATCATGTCTTTGGTCGGAGACCCCAGGCGGTCTTGACATTTGCAAGGCGTCCTTAAGCCCGGCGTTGTACTCACTCCGAGTTCTGTACGGACCATAATCGATCTTAGGTCCATTACGCATTGGAAAGTGCTTGAAGAAGATATCTTGGCAGGGTTGGTGACCCAGCGCACCGTAATAATCTTCTTGAAGAGTTCTCCACTCGTGGATGTAGCCTCGCAGGTGTTGAATTATGGAAGCCTGGGTCTCTGGTGGCAGAGATGTCCATACCTCTGCCAAGGGCTGTCCCTCTACCTGCGACATCAATATGTACCCAGAGTCTCCTCTTTGGCCAACACGATCGACTCTAGGGACAGGTACGGACGTTCGTGAAGCCAAAAGGCGCATCGCTTCTGCTTCTGAGCTTTTTATGCCATAGCCGACCTTAAGGACTTGTTTCGTGTCAGGGAGGAAGATAATTCTAGGTCCAATCTTGTTCGGGAACTTGTCTACCGAGTTGTCAGGCAGCGATATCTCATCAGCAAAAAGCTGGAGTGGACTAGTATAGTGTTAGACCGGTTATGGTATGCATCTAGGATCATACTTGTAATCGAGAGAGTGCTCTGGCGGTTCCATGTGTCTTAGTGGTCGCTTGGAAGTTGAGAGGCGGACGAGTGGCGACATGTGCGGCTAATCCTTGTCAAAGCGCTGCCCGAATAGGTATCAAAAACGCAACCGCAAAACGCGCAGCCGAACAGACCCTGGGGCAGGCTTAAGCACTAATAGTTAACATAATCCATTGGTACGAAGGCCAGCCCACCAAACCACGGTATCCCGCGAAAACACGAGATGCAGTTGCCACAGCGAGCTTTCCCCATGGAACAGCAATCTTCCAATATATCTATAAGAACCTATCATTAGCGACAGCTAAGACTGAGCTTCCAGTGTAATTGGAGACCCTCGTAGCTCAGTGCATTTCCAGAACAGAGACCGAAGACTGACACTCTCCACTTTCACGTGCACACATTGGCCCAATGGGTGTAGCAACCATGTCATTCTCCAACATACTGTATGAGTTAATCACATACCTCACAGTCAAGCAACCTAATCTTCTACACTGAGTATGTCGCTGATTCTCGTCGTATGTCTGACTATCAATGAAGGGATTGTTAATGCGTCATGCCTTCAAGTAGAGGGTGACAAGATCATCTCTTCTAATCTGGGCAAAATTCGTGAAGATCTTGTGAGTTCTAATAAATGTCATTTCAGCTGCGCGACTCCAAAACGGGGTGCTCAAACAAGCCACGCGCAGTGAGCCATGATAGGTACTACCAAAAGCTCTGTGTTACAACCTATCTTTGGATTAGCGCTCGAGGGTGACAACTTGGTAGACATGAGGCAAGCTGAGTGCATGGTACGCGATCGCAGCAGTGTTGCACAATGGAGCGTGAGAGTGTAAAGAACGATTGCGATGCAGTGTACTTTTCCTATTGACTGGCCAAATACTGCGCACCAACGTCGCAACAGGCGTCGGTTCACAGCGGAAAGTCACGTGCGATCTCATGGTCAGTGCCTAGCCCCTGAACAATGCACACTAGCCGTTGGGAGCGGAGATTGCAGTATCTCAAACCAAAGATAGGTAAAAGCAAATAATCATCAATTCTCACATATACATCTCACACGGTCACTTCGATACTCTTATATTCACATTCTACCATGGGCAGAGATATCAGCAGGGCAGATCTCAGTAGAGCGGATCTCAGACTCCACAACATTTACTACAAACCAAATGTCCACCAGGCCAATCATGCAGACACACAAAAAGCTTCCCGAAATTTGCCGGACCACGTGGATGCAGTACGTGAGGGACTTTTGTTTATGGAAGAGATGCTACCGGATGACTGCAAAAAGGTACTTGAGAAAGAGCAGGTTGCGTATGGTGATGTGTACATCGGTCCACGCTGGTGTCTTTGCCCCCCTGAAAAGGCTTTCGTTCATGTCAAACATCACGAGCGCATACAAGGCCAGTCAAAGTCGTTCGAAACCCTCAAAGATTGCGAAAACATTGCAGAGAGTGCACGAAAGATAGCGGGCGACTCGGCAGAGGAATGGATGACGTTTTGGAAGAGTAAAATATTCATACCATTCAGTGATGAGGCACTTCAGCAATCAGGATTCAGGTACGGTTTCCTCCTCTCCTTGGATGTAACTCATTCTGTATATCAACTTGATTGTTACAAACTGACATCTGGTAAGCTCCGCATTAGATGACTGGTTGGTGTAAGTTGCTGCCCCCTCATTCTTCATCAAAAAAAACTAACATCCAGCCATAGCTCTGAAAATTTGTCATGGAGTAATTTTGACAACTTCGTGAAATCAAGTCTTTGGGCGCCCAAACGTGGACAGCCTAGGCCGGATTTGACGTACGGGTTTCCAATCCAGACTTCAACAACAAGCAGCATGAAAGGATTTGCGCGAGACGAGCTTGCTCAATCATTCTCACTTCAATCTTTGATGAAACTTGTAGAGCAGAGTATAGCGTGTGCGCCAACAACTAAGCTCAAGAAAGAAGCAATACTTTCTAGTGGGAAGAGATGGAAGAACTCCTCCCGACTGTGCTTTCCTTGGGCCATCGTGGAAGTCGAGAAAGATGTTCCAGATACCGATGACGTTGCTGAAGAAAGGTGTTTTCGCCGAGCAGCCAATGCCGCCTCTGCTGCTCTCGATCTCCAGGCACAATTATTCAACAAGGCCTCAGATAGCTGCTCTTTACAGTCGCCTCCTGTTATTGCCTTCACATGTGTCGGTCCTGTTGTGAAGGTTTGGCTTGCATACCAGGATAAGTCAAAAGAATTTGCAATCCCAATACAGGTCAGCGAAGCTCATCTCAATTCTTGCCTAACACTGACACTTAGTAGCGTATGGTCTGTATTTGGTCAACATCAATAGAATTGACGTGGGGAGTTGCATCATTGCGTGCTATCATCAGAAATATGCACACATGGTCCTCACGCCTTTTGAAGCCAAGACTGCAGATGGCCATCTCTCAAGTCGCTAAGAATGTTCACAAAAGTGGACACATCGATGCACAGAGTTCTGCAGACCTCGACGTACCCACGCCTAATACCAAGAAATTGGATATCAAGTCCGGAAGTACCCGGGAGAGTCCCCAAGTTATTCTCCAACCCCCTTTGCCTGGCCTATCTGGGTCAGACACCACCAATGGAGCGGATGTCCCAAAGGCACCTTCGTCCAAAACTCATAACGGGAACGCAAAATCGCCTAGTCTAAGACCCAGAACCCAGGAAAATACAAGCAGCCTTTTTAACAGTAAACCCAAGGATGAAACTCAGAAATTAGGACAGGTTGTACGAAGATCAGAGATCAAGAAGAATCCCAAAGGTGGCGAGATATTTGGATTACCATGGCCGACGAAATATCACTTCAGCAGCGACAGCAGCAGCATAACTTCGATCTCATTGCCGAAACCCGCGACTGAGTCTCCATTCGATTCAGCACTTCATTCACAGCCCAAAGCATTGTTTCTTGGATTCGATCCCACCAACAGTAGTAAAGACCGATCTTCAAAGAAACCCAAACCACCAAAAAAGGTTGCTTCAAATAAGACTACACCAAAGGATGTCGACAACAAGACTTTTTTGCCGGCAGTCGAAGGCACGGATGTTTACGATCTTGTGACTACATTTGAGTCGACAAAACTTGAAGTCATCGACGAGGACCCCATTCCGGCTCCGAGTGTGACACACTCAAGACCCGTAAAAAGACAACGATGACTATTTTTAACACTGGGCCATCACCTTGAATTTTTCTATATACTCGCTTGAGTAGCTAAAGCCAGCCGTTTGCGAGCGGAAAAGATAGTTTTGTTTACTCTACTAGCCTAGCTATAAATAGCTTTGAGAGGGAAGCTAGCGGGACCAACGATGGATCTCCTAACCATCCGAAGCTAGGGCTGAACTGATGTTTGCAGTGGCCGTTCTGCATTCAGCCTGTACCACTATCCAGGCGCTTATTTCATCTAAGAGCAATTGATGTCATTGATCTTTTGCCAATAATAGAGCCGGCTATAATTGTAATTCAGATACCTTGAATACGAGAACCATTTCCACCTAATGTGCGGATGCGCGAGGGAATTTTCAGCAACCTAGAAAGTGCAAATATCTAGAGATACTTGTCGTGTGTAAAAGCTGTTCAAGGCATACTACCTTTATAATTAGACACTTGAAGATAGTTGTATGAATTGATAAAGATTTTCTCGAAGCCAGCAGACCGTGTTATTTACGAACGATCGGCATTAAAAACGCCGAATGTGGCCCGTGTTGAGATTTGAGGACAACTGCTCCTTTCTCCGTTGTTCTCTGTTCCTCCTCGCCATTATTGCGAGAGCACCATAGTGTTGCAACTGTTCTCGATAAAGGACCGCCCAATCCGATTCGATCGTATTGTGGGAGTTTGTTTCGCGCTGTTTATGAATTAACACGCATTCAGAAGTGCGGGCAACCCTACTACTGAGGTTTGGGTACGGACACAGCCACGCCACTGCTAAGCACTAACCCCAGGTGACAACTTGTGATGATCAGAGTGGTACGGAAACAAGCCATGCCCATGAGCGTACCCAAATATGTACATAAACGCCTTCGTAACGTTATCTTCGACCGGCCATTTGAGGGCGCGATACGAACTTTAGTGGGGTGAAGCCATGGTATCACGATATGAAGCCTCAAAGAGCCATGATAATTCTATCAAAATAGCAGAGCCGATGCAATCATTAGCAAGCGAGACTTTTGCACTCAATCCGTTGAGCGGATTCCCAAAATACCCTGTGGTTTCTCAAACTTTGAAGAGCTCTTGCAGCGGTATCCCTCCAGGCTCATGACGGAAGTGGGTCATCGCTGACGCTTACTACTCAGTAATACGAGCGGCCGCGTGGAACAGATTTTGAATGACTTGAATTAATCTTCTGTTATAACCTTCAACTTTTCGCTGATACGATACTCGAGCAACAATGTTGATCAAAGATAGGATATGGATTGCTTACGTGTGCATAGCCATCGGCCTGTTCTATGCGGCATTTCTGGTGTTCAATAGTGGCAATGTACAGCACATCACTTCGGCGGACTGGCCACTGTTTGGAAGCAGCGATACAGCGCTTGGGAAGGAAGAAAGCGATTCTTCAAGTTCATCTCCGGAATCGAACGGCGCTACAACTTCACCGGCTTCTTCGCACGGCAATCCGACACTTGCGATTGCGACTTTCCTGACCGGCCAAGCCAACGACGACACCTACTTCAACTTGACCCGGATGCTTACGTATCAGCTATTGCAGGTCCCTGAGACGCGTATCCAAAACCCCGACATTGGCTTTGTTGTCCTCTGCGGCACCAAGCTACCCGAATCGAAACGCGAGATCCTCCGCAAAGACGGCGCAACTGTCATTCCGCTCGAAGACGTGCCATTACCATCATGGATCCATACCTCCGAGCCGCGATGGTCCGAACAATTCACCAAGCTGCGCGTCTTCGAGCAAACACAGTACTCGCGCATCCTCTACATGGACGCCGACTACATGATCATGCACCGCATAGACGAAATCTTCCGCGAGCCCATCGTCACGCAGCTCACCCCCACACTCTTCATACGCGAGAAGGAAATCAAACAAGACGAGGGTCCACTACCTAAACAATGGCTCTTCGCCGGGCGCTCCGAGAACGGCGGACAAGGCGGCTTCGACCACTTCGTGCCACCCGTACAAACCAACTACGCCAACGGCGGCTTCTTCATGGTTGCGCCACAACAGGAAATGTACGACCACCTCATGGATGTGATGCAGATTGAGCGTCGCTTCCCCACAACCTTTATGGAACAGGACATGCTCAACTATGTTTTCCGGCGTGACGGGCCCATGCCGTGGCGCGAGCTGGATTGGAAGTGGAGTTCGAATTTCGCGAATCAGCGCGATGTCGATGGCGGGGTGCATGCGTTGCATGGCAAGTTTTGGGCTGAAGGACCGAATGTTGTGAGGAAGAAGTTTAAGGAGCTGGTGAGACTGATGGAGGAGCGGGATGCTAAGAGGGAGCAGGCGGGTGAGAGGTGAAGAGAGTTTTATGTGTGATACCCATGTTTTTAAGAAATATTATAATAGTAGTAAGTATAGGTAGATATTAGATGCATGTATGTATGTTTAGCGATGTTTAGAAATGGGTTGTTGATGCGTTATAGATTGATTAAGATTCTATTATTTATTTTTTCGATTAAGACACGGGAAGTGGATTGAGACATAAGCAATATTGGCGTTCTGTTCCATGTGAGTTTTGGTCTTGGGAGGATATTATTTGGCAGGCTTGTGATTGGTGTGATTAACCCATCGACAGCCGTTCATTAATAGATGGGATCAATCTCATCCTGGTGAATTGATTCTAAAATGACGATCTTTCGTGGTGCCTAGAGACATATTCAGCATAGATGCAAATGCTCGTCTTGATACGACTTGGTACAACATCGGTACGTGCATGCTTGTATCCCAATGTAGAGCACGTGACCTGGTGTTGAATTGATACGGACGCGGATGCGGGAATCCGATGCTCCGTCGGCAGCCGGCCCACGGGTTCGGTGAGTCTTGCTAGGCATCCGAGTGCTGACGTCCTCCTAGACCAGAGATATACAGCATAGAAACGTAGCCAAAGTCTTGCAGCACTTGGCACATGGTTTTTCCGTATAGATACATGTAGAATGAAGCAGAAGCGTTGTTCAAAGGCCAATGAACTACAGGAGCAGCTCGTGTCTAAGCGGCCGCGGCGTTAGCGGGGCTAACTGGGAATGATTATATCATGTAGCTGGTCCGAGCTTCCATGTCAAATGTGCAGCTCGCGCCGCGTCTGCCTTCAACCCCGGAATCCTCGCCGCCTTTGGACGTCTTGATCTGCCTCGACTCTGCCACACCAGAGTAAGGCAATCAGCACACTCACACGACCCAATCGATGCAGGTGCAACAACAACAGACGCCCTTTCTCCCCGCTGCACGGCTTGCGCATGGCTACCTGACGGCCTCGAGGCTTGACCGACAGCCATTATGCGGTAATCCTGAGGGTTGGGGCCCAATCAGCCCGATCCGATACGACTTCACGCCGTGTTTTCTCGATGTCTGGATAGCTGTCGTAGCCGTGTTTGGTGTTTTGGGAGGAGCCGGCGCGTTATGGTATCTATATAGGCATTGCTCACCGCAACCGGTGAAGCGCAACTGGCACTTTTACGCGAAATTGGTATGCTTCACATTTTGTCAATATCTACGTCATGTTTTTGTTTGACAGGTGCTGACACCCATCGTTCCAACAGACGACTATTGGAGCTCTTATTGGCACAACCGCTACTCAGGCAGCCCTTCAGATCGAATACTACAAACACGTCTGGGCAGGCGACTTTCGCTTCTGGACCACCGTCCTGACCATTCTCTCCCTCATTGTCGTCTTCCACATCCAATATATCGAACATTGGAGATCGCGCAATCCAAACGGTGTCGTGCTTTTCTACTGGCTTCTCCTCCTCATCGCTTACGCCGTCAAGCTCCGCTCGCTCATTTCGCAACAAATCCACCGCGAACATGTGGCATACTTTGCAGTCTTCTGCACTAGTGTTGGACTGGCGGCCCTCTCCTTTGTCCTGGAATGGCTGGTGCCGAAGCGCATGAGCGATTATGATATGCTCGGGCATGAGGATGAATGTCCATACGAATACGCCGACATCTTCTCGGTCTTGACCTTTGGTTGGATGACACCGCTGATGAAGAGGGGTTACCAGACTTTCCTTACTCAGGATGATCTGTGGAATCTGCGAAAGCGCGACTCGACTCGGCACACTGCATCCACCTTTGAAAAGGCCTGGGAGTACGAGATGTCCAAGAAGCACCCATCGCTCTGGATTGCCCTGTTCCGTTCTTTCGGTGGTCCATACTTCCGAGGAGCCCTCATCAAGACTATAAGTGACGTTTTGAACTTTGTTCAGCCCCAGCTACTCAGGCTGCTCATTACCTTTGTGGCCTCATACCGCACTGAAAATCCCCAGCCTGTCATTCGTGGTGCTGCTATTGCGATTGCCATGTTCGCTGTGTCAGTCTCACAGACAGCCTGTCTCCATCAATACTTCCAACGCGCGTTCGAAACTGGCATGCGCATCAAGTCCTCTCTTACTGCTGCCATCTACGCAAAGTCGACCCGTCTGTCCAACGAAGGCCGAGCGGCGAAGTCTACTGGAGACATCGTCAACTATATGGCTGTGGACACACAGCGTCTTCAGGATCTCGCGCAGTACGGTCAGCAGCTATGGTCCGCTCCCTTCCAGATTGTGTTGTGCATGCTCTCGCTATATCAGTTGCTTGGTGTAAGCTGCTTCGCAGGAGTGGCTGCCATGTTCGTCATGATTCCCGTCAACGGAGTAATCGCACGATGGATGAAGACATTGCAGAAAGAGCAAATGAAGAACAAGGATTCGCGTACGAAGCTGATTTCGGAGATTCTCAACAACATGAAGTCTATCAAGCTCTACGCCTGGACTACCGCCTTCGCTAGCCGGTTGAACACCATCCGAAACGACCAAGAACTCAAGACCCTCCGTAAGATTGGCGCCACTCAGGCCTTCTCGACCTTCACGTGGTCTACTACTCCCTTCCTCGTGTCTTGCTCCACCTTCGGTGTTTTTGTCCTCACGCAAAACCGTGCCCTGACAACCGATATTGTGTTCCCTGCGCTTACACTCTTCAACCTTCTTACCTTCCCGTTGGCTATTCTCCCCATGGTCATTACCGCCATTGTCGAGGCTAGCGTTGCGGTGAGTCGTATTACTGGCTTGTTGACTGCCGACGAGTTACAAGAGGATGCCGTTATCCGCGAGGATGCAGTGACTGAGTTGGGAGATGAGTCGGTCCGCATTCGTGATGCTAGCTTCACTTGGGACAAGAACGCTGAACGCCGGGCTTTGCATGACATCAACTTTGCTGCGCACAAGGGCGAGCTCACGTGCATTGTTGGTCGCGTTGGTGCGGGCAAGTCTTCGCTTCTCCAAGCCGTACTTGGTGATTTGTGGAAGATTCATGGAGAGGTTGTGCTAAGGGGAAAGACAGCCTATGTACCTCAGTCGGCTTGGGTCATGAATGCGTCTGTCAGAGAGAACATTGTCTTTGGTCACCGTTGGGATCCTCAATTCTACGAGAAGACTGTTAACGCTTGTGCCTTACGCGATGACTTTGCATCTCTGCCTGATGGCGACCAGACCGAAGTTGGCGAACGCGGTATTTCCTTGTCCGGCGGACAAAAGGCTCGTCTCACCTTGGCTCGTGCTGTTTATGCCCGCGCAGATATCTACTTGCTTGACGATTGTCTATCGGCCGTCGATCAACATGTAGCAAGACATCTCATCAACAACGTGCTCGGACCTAAAGGGTTGCTCGCAGGGAAGACTAGAATTCTCGCGACCAACTCCATCCCCGTACTTATGGAAGCTGAAATGATCTTGCTGTTGCGTGAGGGTAGAATTCTTGAGAGGGGTAGCTACGGTCAACTGATGGCAATGAAGGGTGAAATTGCCCAACTAATCAAGACATCCCAGAACGAAGACCAAGGAGAAGATGATAGCACCCGTATGTCAGATAGCATCATGAGCGACGCCGAGAGCACCGTGTATGGTGGTACTCCCCCTGGTGAGGACGACGAGGAAGATCAAGCCGAAGCCGAAGCAGCTCAGGAAGGCGGTGCGCATCTTGCTCCTTTGAGAGTCGGAGGTGGCACAGCCCGCAAGTCAAGCTTCAACACCCTCCGTCGTGCCAGTACTGCAAGCTTCAAGGGACCTCGTGGCAAGGTTACTGATGAAGAGGGTGCGCCGTTGAAGAGCAAGCAAACAAAGGAATTCCAGGAGCAAGGCAAAGTCAAATGGTCCGTTTATGGCGAGTACGCAAAGACGAGTAATCTTGTAGCTGTCGGTATCTATCTGATGCTCCTTCTTGGGGCCCAGACCACTTCCATTGGTATGTTCAAAGGTCGCGAAGGGGCTGGAATCACTGGCGTCTCCGTTTGGTGCGCCATTGGATTGTCACTTTCGCATTTTTTGCAGTTCAACGCTAACGCTGCGATACAGGTGCAAACGTGTGGCTCAAGCATTGGTCAGATGTCAATCAGCGGTATGGTGGAAACCCTGATGTGGGACGATATATCGGCATCTACTTCTCGTTTGGTGTAGGGTCAGCTGCACTCGTGGTAGTACAGACCCTCATTTTATGGATCTTCTGCTCGATTGAGGTGTGTATCTGCTTACTGGGCTAGCTTGGCTTGCGTTCACTGACACCCCGTGTAGGCTAGTCGTAAGCTACATGAGCGGATGGCTTTCGCAATATTCCGCTCGCCAATGAGCTTTTTCGAGACAACGCCTGCAGGACGCATCCTTAACCGCTTCTCAAGGTAAGCCGTCATTCTTACTAGGGACTGTCTCAGTGAATCGGCCTATGTTTCCCTATGAACTGTTCGTTGAAGGATTCCGCGGAGGACTCGTCTTCGGCTCTAGTGTATATGCCGACATTTGCTAACTTCACGAACCAGTGACATATACAGAGTAGACGAGGTGCTAGCGTAAGTCGCTTCCCATTCCCTAACGTACTTGCAGCAGGTTGTCTAACGTACGCTTGTAGCCGAACGTTCAACATGCTCTTCGTTAATTCTGCCCGAGGTATGCAGCCACCCCGCATCCAACCCGGTGTGTAACACTTGACTGACCGATGTAGCCGGGTTTACCCTTGTTGTTATCTCATGGTCAACACCAGCCTTCGTGGCTCTGATTTTGCCTCTTGGAGCGCTTTATCTCTACATTCAGCGATATTACCTACGCACATCCCGCGAGTTGAAGCGACTTGACAGTGTCAGCCGAAGCCCGATTTATGCACACTTCCAAGAGAGCTTGAGTGGCATGAGTACGATCCGCGCCTACGGCCAGCAGAAGCGTTTCGAGATGGAGAATGAATGGCGTGTCGACGCTAATCTACGCGCATACTACCCTTCCATCAATGCCAATCGATGGCTTGCAGTTCGCCTGGAGTTTCTTGGTTCGGTTATCATC